CCTCCCCGCCACGGCCGGCCCTCCGTCCGCACCGGTTCCACACGCCCTCCCCATCCTGCCCTCCCTGCTCCCCTTGTCCGCACCGCCCCCCACACCCCTCCTCGGACGGCCCCTCACCAGGCCCGGCTCCCGCACCCCTTTCCTCGTCCTCCGCTTCCTTCTCCGGGGCTCCCCCCACACTGTGTCCATCTCTTTTTGTCTTCCTGTTTCTTTAGATCCTACCAAAGCTAGACCTTCCCTCCCCAAACTGCTGGACAGCCCCGGCTGGTCGGTGAGCATCTGCTACCCCTCAGTAGGTCGGGCAGAGCGGAGAGTGGAGTCACGGAGGTGCTTGGTTTGGGCGAGTGCTCCAGGCAGAGTCGAGTCCAAACCCCCAAGAAGAAGCTTTAGAGTGAGTCAACATGCTCTTACATCAGCAGACAGCTCATCTGATCCCTGACTTGTTGCAAGATGCAGGCTGGGTTTTTCAGGAAAGCTCAGCTCCCTTTTAGCTCCCTGAAGGCTGTGCGCACAGAGGTGTGCAGGCAGCTGCACACTCCACCAGAAGGCCAAAGTGGCCAGCCTTGGTCCAGAAGCTGTGTAGCCGTGTTAGCACAACACTGTGCCCAATTCACTGAGCCTCAGCATCGCTTTTTTTCCTTGGCGCCTAAATGGCAGCTGAACTCTTCTAACAATCTGACCCAGTCCCCTTTTAAAATAGAAGGTAATAAAGAGTGGAGCTTGTTCAGCATACTGAGCTCCAGCTCTGGGGATGGTCCAAGCAGCAGCTGGAGCAATTTCTTTCACTGTCTTCATAAATATTTTAATGTACCCGATTTAAAAGCAAATAAATTGTCTTCACCACAAGATGCAGTCCTCCTCCTGGCCATTTTCACGTTTATTCATATATTGTCTGGCTCAAAAATCCACCCGGGTCCCAGAACAGCATTAAACTTCTAAGGCCTAATGCTGAGATGGACAGAATACCTGCAAGTCTTGTTCCTGTCCGTGGGGATTGGGCTTTAAATCTCCCCAAATCAATACCTTAAACAGCTCAGACTTCTGCAATTATATTGATGGGAACATTAAAATCTGTGTCAAAGGATGACGCTGCAATCCTGCAAATTTAAGTTTTTTGTTGGATGTAGTGGTTTTTTTAATAGATTGTGAAGCAAGCAATATAAGAAACAGGTTTTACAACTTGTTTTAAATATAAGTAAGCTTACTTCTCCTTTCACCCATGTCTTCCTTTAGGCTTTTTTATTGCTTTCTGATAAAATCTGCAAAAATAGAAATTGTGTATGTTTTTCCCTTTTTAAAGTTTCAGGTGCAAATGTCTAAGCGCATGCTTTTTCAAATCTCCTGTTTCTTTTGTATGTTTGACTGCTAAAGACAGACCTGTCTTACTTCAAACCCAATTGACGGTTTTGCCTGACCTCAAGATTTTGTTTGTGACACTAACTGGGCACCTTCATAACAGTCTTGGAGGCTGTTGAAAAGAGAGGCCAGACTGGGCCTTTGCACTCTGGCAACTGAACTCAGAGCTATGGATTTCGGAGGATGTTTGGGACAAATTAGTAGGGCAAAGGGTGGAAACATGTTAACTGCTGCCCATTCTGCACAGTGTCCTCTGCATGAGACCTTGTTCTGTCGGTCCTGTACCTATCATTACTACCATGTTCATACACAATAAACACAAACATACATGTTGTGCTTTAGTAGTCCTGCCTGTAGTTCAGCAAGACTGAACCAGGTTAGTATTTGGATAGGAGACCTTCCAGGAAAGTTTACTTGCTGCAGGAAATAGTGTTCACTTACTGAGTAATATTTTTCCAATACTGAAGTCAGTCTTGAGTCATCTGGTTCTGGGGATGATGAGCTGTAGAAATTCCAGCTTTGAATGGAATAAAAGCAAGTTCTTGAGCATTTTTGGTCATGATGGGGCTTTTGGCAGTTTACTGCAGAGTAGGAGAGTGTCCTGGCCGAATTCCAACCTGGGTGATTACATTCAGCTGACTGAAAATGAGCAGTGGCGATTGCTGCATTTCACTATTGGGCAAAGTGATTTCCACACATGGGCTTAAATTTGTAAAGCAGAATGAAAAGGACTTATAGAAATGTCCCTTTAACCCTCATAGCTTATTCTTGAAGGCCTTGTGAGGCTTGTCAGTCTGCTGTACATTACTCTAAATGCCAGTGATCCAGCTGCTGGGGCATTGCTTGGAATGGCTGTACCACATCACATGATGGTCTTCAGAACAGTGGTGCTTTTTGTAATGCACATACACATTCCCACACATCAAGCAAGGAAACAAACAGAATGGGAGAAAAGGAAATAATAAAAGAACATTCAAAGTTTTCTTTGTTAGAATTAAAATACTGTGACAGTGCTGTTCAGGCTGATCCGTGGTTGGTGTTTTGTTTTCAAAAAGGCTAAGTGATCCTTTGATTCAAAAAGGTAGAGAAGCACTGATGTAAGATATAGAAGGCAACATGGAAGTGTATTTCCTGTTATATATGTACCCCAATGTATAACAATTTTTTTCTCTCCCTGACTTTCCCTACTTTATTTTGTACCCAGATTTTCTTGCTCCTGTCTGAAATGTGCCTTATAACTTTACAAGTTTTCAGAAGACCACTGTGTTTCACTGGGATAGGAATATTGCATCTGCTTCATAGCAGGAGGATGTTATATGTATTACAGTTTAATTCTGTTCTACTTTAAACCTAGATAAAGAATGAAGACTGTCTGTACCATTTTGATTACCTCTTCTAGGGTTCAAAGAGAGAATCATTTCCCCTGACCTTCATTTGCTAATGGCTCAGCTTGATCTAACTGGTATACAGATAAACTTGCTGTTAAACAAAAATTCCGGTAGGAAGAACCACCTCAATGTCCAAAATTCCTTTGCCCCTGCTGGTATCGGTGGCTCTCTGTAACCATCTAAAAGCCGAACTACGCAAAGTCACGAGAGCTTTCACGAGAAGCTTGTATATGAATGGACAATGCTGCCATCCTCTTGAGAGATGAGACGAAGGACCCTTCACAATGACAGCTCTGCAAGTTCCAAATATGAGAGTCGTGAATACGGAGTTTCATGTTTTGTCTCCAGAGTGATCTTCGTTCTTGTTAAGCTAATTTCACCTCTTGTCACAAGTTTTGCTTTTGGGATTTAGACCATCATTAGCCACGGAACTCCTGTGTAAATCACTTTTTTCTTTTTTTTTCCCCCTATTTTACACAAAGACTGTTAATAGGACTGTTAGTGGAATAAGCAAAGCCAATATTCACAGGGTTTAACTTTGTACCAATAGCACTTTTTGCCCCAGAATGCCTTACAAATGCCATACAGCATGCATGTCCCAGTGTACAACTTGTTATGAAATTTCTGTTCACTTAGGCACCGCCTTAGTTTCCCAAGCTGACTTTTAGGGACATTTCAGCACATAGCATCTCATACAATAAGTCAGACGCCACCCAGAGGTGCCTTTCAGGTCTGAGAGCTTTCTCCGTGAATGTATTCAGAGCTAAAGAGACCATGCGTGCATCCTGCGGGTTGATGCCATCCACCTAACGGGAGCATCCTGAAGTGACTGAGGGAATGGCAGAAGGAGGGCACGCTGGCGCTCCTCCTGTCCGACTGTGGGTGCGACGCGTAGGTGTTTACTGCGATGAGCACCGCAAAACGTGGCTTGTGGCTGCGGAAGAGGCAAGTGTCCTTTGAGCTTCCCAGTGATTGTAGCTTTGCTATTGCAGGTGCCTCTACTGTATTGCCAGTAACTGCCTGCTCTTTTTGTTACTTTCCCCCAGGAGGAAGGTATGCTGAGGGCTCGGATCCAAAGAGTTCAGGTTCCCCTGGGTGAGGCGCTGCGACCCAGCCAGCTCCCCCCATCCCGGCTGCCTCATATGTGGCAGCTGTCCCAGGGTGAGCAGTACAGGGATAGTAACTCTCGCGTTTGGGAGATAGAGCACCATCTCATGGTAAGGATGGTGGCAACAATAGACCATAGTCATGCCTGTTTGTGAAGTCATTTGAGATCCTTGAGGGACGGCAAAGGACTGTTATTTTGTTGAAGTCCATTAGCTCAGCCACAGTAACTGTAGACGTATTGAACTTTTCCTTGTCGCTTACAGCTTGGTGGTGTTGAAGAACTGCTGCTTAAACTCGTGCCTGGTGATTAATCTGGTATGTGTAGACATTACCCCTGCTTTGTACTGTGCTCTGTTTATTCCCAATCATTCTTTAATATGAATTTTTGTCTTTCAGGAGCAGTGGCTCTAGGAAGATGTCGTTGTATATTTTGTACAATAAATGATTCTCTCTCCACTGAAATGCAGCCACCTCTGAGGTGGAAGCAGTTAAACAACACACAGCAACATCACACAAGAGTTTAGGACAGGCAGTGAAGAGGAGTATTGTGTCCAAGTGAATCATCAGGGGGAGTTCTAGGTAGGCAGAATATAATTGCCCCAAGTGGAGTTTGGCCAGGATGCTGGAAATAATGCCCTAGCAATATTGAAAAGTGCTGTGGGCTGGTGAATTATCAGAAATTTGAAAGCCAGCACCTCCCTAGCTCTGGGCAGGGGCAGGAGCTGAACTGTGGCTCAGAGAGAGCGGAAGTCCCACCACCGCTTTCGGTAACAGCGGTGCTTTCCTGTAGAGGTCTCCCATCCAACTACTAGTACCACCGGTTTTTGCTTGTCTTTTGATCTCTCACGGAAGATCACAGTTACAGGTGTCACAGCTGCAGAAAGTCAAATTGAGTGTCTGAAATCCTGCTTTCTAGGGTTTTGAACAAGATGGAGCTGTTCTCCAGTCTGGGTTTTTTTGGGGGGGGGATTTCCAAGAGGCTTTCTCCTGGAACAAAACAAAACAAAAAGCTCTTCGTGTTGTCTTTATGGGACATACACAACTAAGTTGTTTTGTTTGGTTGTTTTTTTAAATGCCTCCTCCAGCTGCAGTTATATGACTAACACCAAATCCTTGGTTGTGTAGGGCTCACAGAGAGGGCTTTTACATAAATACATGTTTTAGTATAAGGTCTAGAGGCACAGAACTGTTAAAAATTAGTCAGACATATTAATTTGAACCTTTGCTGGAATCTTTGTGCATCCAAGTAGAAAAGAACACATTTTGACCAGAGAAAAGAAAAAGGCCTTTAAGCCTAGCAACATAAAACTTCCTGTATTCATTGTCCACATTATCATCCTTTAGCCAGACACAGAGAATTCTTGTGTATGTTGGCAGGCATCTGCAAGCAGCAATAGATGTTTTCTGAACTGTCTGTGACAGAGAGGGAAATTGGGAGCTCTTTAAAGCCTTGGCTTTAAGACAGTATCTTGCCCCCCCCGCCCTCTGAAAAGCACGTTGTTTCTACAGTAACATTTTCCTATCATTTTAGTTCTCTGAACATGTCCCAGAAGGATCCCTGCCAGAAACAAGCCTGTGAAATACAGAAATGCTTGCAAGGTACCAAGTGTCATTTTGTCTTTCTGGTGTCTTGATTTTTGGTGGAACTTAATTCTTTTAACTTAACCCTGTTCTCCTTTCACCTTGAGAATGAAGAAAGCAAGCACATTAGCATCACCTGGTTGCATAGCGAACAAAATTATAATGTCTGGTTTTAATAGAATTCCCATGTACTTGATTGTAAATAATGAGACACCATTAGTACAAAACAGAGCGTTTGTAACAGTAATGTTGTGCTTATTTCAGAGTGTTCTCCATGCTGGTAGTGAGTAGTGAGATCCCATGTGTAGTCTTGGGACTCAGCTGTAGGCGGGGAGAGCTAGACATTATAATAAGCTCTCTAACAGAGCAGGTAGTGGGTGGATTGTATGAGAAGACTGCAGAGCTTCTAGCTCCAGTGGTATTTTAAGACTCAGACAGATGTCTGTCAGGAACGGGTTAGGTATATGTGATCTGGCCTCAAGGTATGAGATGGTCTCCCTCTGGAGACCTTTAACAGCTGTTTTGTATTAGCTTAGCTAAATATTTGTAGGGGTGAGGGAGCTTATGTGATAATGTGTTTTGAGAGCCTGAGTTGGGGAGAGCAGGCTTGTTACTTGCAGAGGACAATATTTTTAAAAAATTTTGGTTGTTCTTGGAAAAGGATTTGCCTTATGGAATGAATAAAAGGAAACATTCCCCTATGCCAAGGCAGCTCAGCCATACGGGAAAGAGTTCTTCCTAACTCATCTGGTGGAGCCATGAGGCAGGATGCTAGTGATGCCACAGCTAAAATTAGCCAGGCCAGTTCCACAGCAACTCATTTCTGCCTTTAATTTATTTGCAGACTACAAGCAGGTTAGCTAAAATACAGCAGGGAGGGAGGAGGGGTCCTGCTGGGGAAGTAGAGAGATGGCTTTGCAGACTGCAGCAAACATAGTGATTGCAATCTGTGCAGGTAACACAACAACCCCGGTGGCTGGGGAGGAGCATAGGAGGAAAAGCATCTGGGAGAAAGAAGGGGAAAACAATAGTCAGTTATTGGTAGATGTCGGTCTTTCCCAGAATTGTTTTCTGAAAGCTGTGTTCAGCTCAAAGCAAGGGCTCAAACAACCCCCTCTACATGTCCCCAACATTTGTCTAGATATTACCTTTTACTGTCTTTACCTTCATCTATTACCTTCGGCTGCCTTCTCCCCTCATAGTAACTGCACATAAAAGCTAATGTTTGACCCTGTTTTGGTCCCATCTGTGGCAATGTTCTTTTTATAACATTCATGGAGGTTATTCCAAGTGTTTTACCTGTGTAGGTTTGTGTACATATTTGATCTGAATGGTTAAGTGTTAGCAAAGAAGCTCTTTGCTACATGCACGCTCTGCTGTCCACCACTTCTCTAGCTATCATTTTGGAGTGCTGTTGTTGTTCATGTATTATCATGCTGTGGAGTTGTCTGAGTTGCACAGATGAAGCAGCTGAGTTGACAGACAGCAAAGCAATTTTTCCCTGTAAGGATTAATGCAATACAGGATGTATACAGAGCCTTAACTGACAAATACACAGAGACAGTGTACACAGTGCAGAAGCAGGACCTTTGGGAGTCCAAAAGATCTTGCCTGCTTCCTCTGTGAGACTGAATGCCCACTGTAAATCTCTTTTGTGTTTTGCTATCTGTTGTACAACTAACCATTGTGCTTTTCAGGAATGCATCCCTGACAGATAGCAGGGTGTGGCTGTATGTAGCCGTAGTTTTAGAAACAAACCTGCACAGGCAGAGGAATGGTTAGGAGAGCCTTGGAGCACTCATCATTAGCAGGTTATGGCAGAGAGAGATTAGCTCTCCTCTCCAAGGGCCTGCCATGCCTCCTAGGCTGCCAGCTTGCACAAGGCTGTAACATCACCATAACCTTTTTCTCAGGGGTGATCTCTGTGCTTGTGTTACAGGTCACTCACCAACCCAGTTAGGGAATTCATAGCCCAGTGATCAGAGTGGGCTGGCTTGCTCATTAACTGGAAGGCATTCACTGCTGCCTTCTGGGCTCACCAGTGGGTGCTGTGTTTGTCTCACATTGGGTTGCTGTTGCTTCTTTTAGTCTTTTAAAAATCAGTGGCTTGTGGGGGGGTGAGTGCAGCTGTGTAGTGATTGTGTAGCTCATCCAAAGCAGAGTGGGTACCTCTGCACACCCTGCACTTCTATGCAGACAGGCAAGTAGTTATTAATTCAAGCCACAGACTCAGTCTGCTCACATACCTGCAGGGCTTCTCTCTGAGAGCCTGGTGGCCAGCCCTGCAAAGCACTGTGGGCTTTGCCACCTCAGCCAACAGTGGCAGCCAGCAAAGCGCTAGGGCAGAAAGGATGCTGGACAAATCACCTGTGTCCTGCAGTGCCTGAAACCTGCTGGTGCAGTGAAATCTCTCTGAGCCTGAAACAAAGGCAATATGGAGAAAGTACAGAGGTGGGCGTAGCTGTGCCGTGCACAAAGACGTGAGCCTAGTTATCCCAGGTCAGACTAGGACCTCGTTTAGCCCCGTGTCCCAGTTCTGGCAGTGTCCAAGAGGAGAAGCCTATGGAGGTGAAGGAGGTCAAGTAACAGTTGTGTGGCTAGAGGTGGGACCTTTGTGTGGAAGGTGGTTGTGTCACTGGCTCTGTGCAGCTGGATTCAGCTGCTGGCATCTAGCTAAGCATTCCTGATAGTGTGCTGCCTGCTTCGGTTAGCTGCAAAGCTACAGCCTGCCCACAACAGGACACTGGTAGGAGGTTGGCAGTCATGATCCTTACCCCTTCCTTTCACAAACCCCACAGTGCTGAAGAGTGCATATGTCCCTGTTTATACCAAGTCCTCTTTGGATGCTCTTATATTTACACTCGGCTGTAAACCTTATAGTGACATGGCAGCTGGGTTGAAGACCATGGATGACAAGATCCAGCTTAAAAGCACACAGGCTAAAGAAAGGAAGGATTGAAGGGCAACAATAAGGGAAACGTCATTCTTACTGTAGTGAGATGTGATAGCTACAAAACTGGGGGACTGAAGATGCTCCCATCCACAACAGCAAGGCTGCCTTTGCATGGCTTTAGATAGCTGAAACTAAGGAGAGATTTTTGTAGAGCAGAGAAAATGATGAAATGCTTGTAAGCAGCTCTTGCTTTTCAGAGAAACATGCTGCCCAGCAGCTGAAGGGCTGGGCTAGATGTGTCCTCTCTGGGGACAAAATGTGTTCCCCTCTGCAGACTTAGTGTCTCCTTCTTATTTTCCAGTGAACAACTACATGGAGTCTAAGTGTGAAACCGTGCTTCAGGAAATGCGGAAGTGCTGTGCCCGGTACCCCAAGGGCAGATCCATCTGTTGTTCAGGGTTTGAGAAAGAAGAAAGGGAGAGAGAAAAGTTTAAGGCGACTTCAGACGGAATTCCCCCACCACCTCAGTAACACAATGCAGCTCCAGCAGGTGCCGGAGCACGGACTAACCTGCAGAGCTTGTGTGTGTTTTTTCAAGCCTTCTTTAGACTTTCAGGAAAGCCAGATCGCTCCTATAACACACCATTCGGCACACCAAAAAGTATAACGCAGTACCAACAGATGGCCTGGTTAACAGACTTTATTTTCGGTACCAAAACATCATCTACATTGTCTTTGCATTGCACCTGTGTCTGTGAAATTCAACTTGATGTTTTTAGAATGCTTACCTTACTCTAATCCATCCTTGCTCTCAAAATGGAGAACTGGAACCAAGTTATTCTGGCTTCTGGAGCAGAGGTACAGGAAATGAGCTCAGAAGAATGAGTGAGTTTAAGTGTGACACATAAAACAAGTCCATCTTGACACAGCAAAGGTATTGCTGCCATCATGCAGTAGTTCCAGACAACATTTGCCTGTCCAGTGGTTCAAGCTCAAGAATGGGAATCAGGTCTGGGGATTGTTCCTAGGTCTTGCATAGATCACGAGTGACTACAAGTCACTTTGCCTAAGTGCCTCACTTTCCCACTGGACAGACTTTTGGTTACTTTATATTTGAATTGCCTACACGCTGCTATTTGCATGACAAAGATGTTACAGGAACATTATTTCAGGGATTGCTACAGGAATAGGATTTTTTTTAAAAAAGCAATATTCATTTGAAAGATCTGACTGTTGATATAAAATTTATAAATTTATGTATAATTGAACACCTTTAAGCAATATGTTACGAACCCAGCGTAGTTCAACCCGCTGGTACCCAGAGGCCTGTCACAAAGCCCTGGGCTAGATCCAAGAACTGATTTAGGTGCTGCTTACTGAACAAGCAGTTGTAGGCACTTGCTTTCAACACAGCATTCCAGACTCACTCACAAGCCAGCTGTCTGGACCCCAGGGAGAGATGGCTTTTCAGAAGCTCTCACCCGTGCAGCGGAATTTCCTGTGACCTGTAGGAAGAGCTTGGTAGACAGGTTCCTGCATCACCCTTCAGAGCTGCCTAAGTCTCTCCATCCCCTGTAGCAGGAGTCCAGGCACCTCAGTGGGTGCCAAGTCCATTACAGGGCCTAGGCACCTAAATATCAGACTTTGAACCCACTAGGCCCCTAACTCTGTCATTAGATCTAGCCGTAAAGGACTTTTGTGCTGTGATCAAGTACAACTTACTTATGAAATACAGCTTCTATAAACAGACCACTGTAGTCTAGGCACAATAGTTGAGTGTATTGAAGCCTAGAAGAGCAAACCGTCTGTATTCACTGCTCTGAAATACCATGATACAAAATAAATGACTGGAACAAATTGTAGTCTCAGTTTGCTTGTTTATTGAGGATACAACATAGCTGCAAGCCAGGCAGCTTGGCTGCCATTCACAGTCCAGAGCTACATATGATATCATCATGTTTAAATAGAAGCTGCTTGATATTTTTATAACCGGGGCTGAAGATCAGAATAATTCAGGGCTAGCCTTCCCCTCCTGCCCCCCTCCCCCCCAAAAAAAAACTTAAGACAAAATAGGGGTTTTAGTATTCTTGAAAAGTAGGGGAAAGTGATGACAATGTTTTGAAGCGGCTCAAACACTTGACAAGTAGCTCATCTTTCCCTTTTGCCCTATCTGAGCAGGAGCAGTGGAAAGAAAGTCACTAATAGATGATAAAAAATAAATATTTAGGCTTCTGTTGCGCCTATTAAAAAGAAAAGCCTCATCTTCGTGCCCATTTCTACTCAGGTAGAGCAAACTTGCTCAGCAGGGAGGCTCTGAAGCCAGGCTGGCAGCAGAATCACCTCCTGCCCCAGAAGCATCCCACCTTTTGGGAACATGGGTGATTGGTGCCAGGATCATCAAGGAGAGGGATTTATTAAGGCAGCCCATGGTTACCTGCAGAGAAGAGGGAAGGCTGGTGGCCTCATGCTACCAGACTGGCTGTAACTGCTCCCATGAGTCAAATGCAACACGCAGGGTAAAACAAAACCACACTGGTTCCCAAGAAGTCAACAGACCTCATACATAGAAGCTATTAGAGCAAAACTGTTTAATAAAATATCACTTCAACAAGCATTTACATACAATATATAAAAACACTTTAAAAGCCTAGTGTGTTTTAAACGTTCTCAAACTGGAACAGATGCCAGAAGCTGTTGAAACAAGACCAAAAAGAGCAGGGGTGGGGAGGGGGGGAACACCTCATCTTGGTACCTGCAACAATGCATCCCCACAGAGGTTGATTCAGCATCAGAGCTTCCAGTGTGGGCCCACAGCATTAAACAGTGCCAGTCATGAGCCCAACACTGGCACAGCAGAAAGATTTGCCAGATCCTGATGTCCTTGTCCATTCCTTGCCTGCATTCACATCAAACTCAACATGAATTTGTCACTTCTTTCCCCTTCCAGCAGCAATTGAGGCGTTTTAGCTCCCTCTCTTGGCCATTTCTCTCCATAGCAGCAAGTCGGGACCCTGCGGAGCAGAACCCAGTATACCCTTCCCTGGGGCTGGGCAGAAATAGTGATTTATCTGAGCCTGAAAAACATCCCTAAGGTCTGTTAATGGTTTACTTTGGGCTTTGTCATTGGAGAAAGCTTTCTGGAGATTAGTGCATCTCAGAAGAAGTTGTGTTATGCAGCACACCAGGCAGAGGGGCAGCAACACTGTTTTCTTACGCAAATAAGAGAGACCCTGCAACACAAATGTATCAATTCATGCACATTCAGCCCTGCAGGGTTCCTACAAAAAAACCAAAACAAAACAAAACCACCACGATCATCTGTCACTCCACTCCCAATTTACTGAAGACCTATTTGCTGCATCATATCACTCCTGCAGTCCTGGATGGCTTTTAGGAAGATCATCATTAAAACAACGTGAGCCCAGCTGCTCCCTCATTCTGCTTGGCCATGTATGGCAGGACAGGAGCAAAGATACCAACTTCTGTTTCCTGATTACCTGCAGCCTCTTTTCAGATCCTGAAGGTGAGAAAATCTCAGCTAAATCAACGTGTTGCTACACTGACACTTCAGTCAACAGAGCTGAAACAAAATTAACAACTGCAAGTGCTCATCCCAAAACCGCTGGTGGACGAACCCACAATTCCAGCTCTTTCAGCAGCTCTCGGGGGAAGATCCCCATTTCTAGCCATACTGAGAGCAGCAGTGGATGATCAGAAAGGCATTACACAACACTGGAGATGGGGTGCAGCCGCTGAGCCCAGGTGCTGCGTCCCAATCACTCATGCACATCATCATTCCCTAGCATGTTTCCAATGGAAGGATGGGCTAACTTTCACATTAAAAAAAAAAACATTCTTGGCAAGAACTCCTACATGTACCTGCTGGAGGACATCACCCCACCGTCATGCAAGTCCCCACACTCTGGAAAGCGCTAATGCCAGCCCAGCACAGCCAATGCAGAACACCTCTAAGGGATTTTTAGGTTTTTTGTTTGTTTGGGTTTTTTTTGTAATTTTCTCTTGTAGGTTAGAGTCCTGCTCTGCACACAGCTGCACTGGGACAGACTGTCCAAAAACAGCTGAGCTCTGCATCTGGGCTGCCTCATCACCCGCAGGAGAAGGGCTGCAGCTGATGGAATTAAGCAAGCAGCTTTTTCTGTGGAAATGGTAAACACAAAGAAGGAACATAACCAAGGCAGAAAGTATGGAAATGAGCCACTCCCACAAGAGCACAATCTGGTTTTCCCAACAGTTTTGTCATTTCAGTTGCTTGCAGAGACCAGAGTTTGTGCTCTGCAGAGGCAGGTAAAGGACTGCACTCCAGATTTCACATCCTCCCCCGCCACCACTCTAGTAGAGCGGCAACAGGGACCCTGGACCAGTACAAATGTACCCTAAACAGGGATGCATTTCCTGTCTACAATCCTGTCCCACATGGTTACAGCTCACCAAAGCCAAAGTGGCCAGAGAAGGTCATGGTAGACCTAGAAACACTAATCTGAGGCCCAGGGTGATTTACAGCAAGTGGCACAGCTGAAACGCATACCGCCTGCGCCAGCTAGCCTGACACAGACAGGTCAAGCACGCTGGAAGCCTGCCCACCACAAGAGAGTGCCTCAGCACATTTCAAAGGCTGAGCAGTCAGCTAGCAAGTGAGAAAGGGGCTCTACAGTGCAGGAAGCTTGATGACTTTCAGAACACATGATGAGGAAAGGGCCTGGAGAGTCACCCACAGTGCTGTTTCCATCAGCAGTGCCAGTGCTGCAATTCCAGTAAGGGGTATAAATAACAGCAGAGGAGAAGCCAAATGGCCATCTACGTGCAGTGCAATGGCAGGGGGAGGGCAGGAGAACCCCCAGCACCACATGAACTTGCTCCCTATCCACCCGCCCTGGACACAGCCCAGGCTGTCCCCTGACACTTCTGTGTCCACCCCAGGACAGCCAAGCACATTTTGGACTGCACACATGATCTCTGTGCAGAGGGAAGCACAGGCTTTCCAGGTACCAGGGCAGAAAAAGTGCAAGCTAAATAGTGGTGTACAGCTGACAGCTGTCGTACACATATAATGGCAGACAAACGTACGTGTAACAGCCCTGAGCACCTGGGAAGAAGCGCATTTAAGAGATTTCTCTGCCACTACATGTTTATGAGGCTGTAACTCAACAGAAAATTTGAGACTGGGCATATTTGGTGGGGAAAGGAATCACAATGATACACTGGGAGTCATAAGATTTCAGACCAATCCCAGCACCCCAACAGCCCAGACAGAGGAAAAAGTTGGAAATCAGAAGCAGTGCTGTAAGAAATAAGGGCTGGAACCTGGCAGCAGAAGGGACTGAGCCTGTCAGCAACATCCTTTGACTTCTAAGTGACAGAGAGCAGCAGTAGAGGAAGGCAGGGGAGGCTGGGCATGAAGGGAGAGTCAAACACAGCTTCTAGGACGCCATTCCGAGCAGGAATCCTCCAGCAAATCCTCCAGTCAGGATAACATTCTTCTTCAGAAATATGATCACCTAAGCAGGGGAGAGAAGAGCCAACAGTGTTCAACACCACCAGTTCACCCACCCACCTTCCCCATAAGAAGACATCCCTCAGGCTGTTCTCCAAGGTGAGTGATGCTCGGAGAGAGGCCACTGCTCGGGTCAGGGAAAGTATCCTACCTAATGACCTCCCCTCCCTAATCTCCCCGCTGCATGTACAGCTCTTGAACTGATCCAGTCCCAGTGCAGCCCAGATTCTCCGAGAGCTGCAGTCCGCTACACGCTCCAGGGCTCTCTCACAACCAGCATAGTCAGTCTGACAGAAGAGGCTGCTGACTGTGTGTGCCAGACCAGGGTACAGCAGAGTCCAGGGTAACTAGGCCACTCTGCTGCCAGATCTACTTAGCTTTTCTTGTCAGACTGAAGAGACACTTCTTCCCACAACCCCAGCACATTTTCTCCCAACCCCAAGGAATTTGCAGCAACACATGGTGAGCTGGTGTCATGCCTAGAAGCCACCCTGGCTGTCTCAAATATGCATAGATACCTTTGTCATCTCTCCAGTTTTCCTGTCATTCAAGCATTCCCTCCTTGTATTTGCAGAATGGAAGATCCATAAGAGCCCAGGAGTCAATCCCATTTTCTGCTGTCCCTCCAGCTAAGCACCTGCACACACCCTGGGAGAGTTGTCTCACCTCATCCACTCTGCTTTTCACTTCTGGAGACATTTTGTTACCACTGCTGTGAAATTTCAGCTGCTGCTTGGCTTTGTTCACATCCCGTTCTACTAGCTTCCAGTCCACTTTGATGTATCCCGTGTGGTTTGCAATCTAGAGTTTTGAGGGGTGGAAAGTTCCTGGAGTAAAGTCCTGCATGACCATGGCTAAACAGACTCCCTTGCCCACCCACCTTCCCTGACCACAGCCACCTCCCACACACTGGTCCAGTGGGATGAGAGGATGAGCGCACGAGCTTGAAAATTGTACAAAGGACCACCCCTGTAGCTGTATTAACTGTCCTGCAACATCTGTCTCCCACAGTAATCCCCTAACAGCAGGGCACACATTGCAGCTTAGCCTGTTTCAGCCTCTATTCTCTAATGTAAAGCTGGCATCACCTCCCCCTCACAACTGCCACATATATCGTTGGGACTCTCTGCAGCTCTCCTGCTGCTGTGGGTGGACACAGCTATTAATAGCCTGTTCCTCTCTAAATATTTTATCTGGTCAGGATGATTCAGCAGTGAAACTCTCCCTGCTCAGAGCAAGCTTTTGGCTTTCAGCAGAACAAGCAGAGCCAGAAGAGCAGGGAGAACGAGTCACACACAAGAGAGTGCCTGAGAAGCAAACAAATAAGGCTGCTGCATGAGGTC